CGAGGTGTGCAGTATAGAGAGAGGCGGGCAGTATAGAGAGGTGTGCAGTATAGAGAGAGGCGGGCAGTATAGAGAGGTGTGCAGTATAGAGAGAGGCGGGCAGTATAGAGAGGTGTGCAGTATAGAGAGGTGTGCAGTATAGAGAGGTGTGCAGTATAGAGAGGTGTGCAGTATAGAAGAGGTGTGCAGTATAGAGAGGTGTGCAGTATAGAGAGAGGCGGGCAGTATAGAGAGGTGTGCAGTATAGAGAGGTGTGCAGTATAGAGAGGTGTGCAGTATAGAGAGGTGTGCAGTATAGAGAGGCGTGCAGTATAGAGAGGTGTGCAGTATAGAGAGGTGTGCAGTATAGAGAGGTGTGCAGTATAGAGAGGTGTGCGTAGAGAGGTGTTGCAGTATAGAGAGGCGTGCAGTATAGAGAGGTGTGCAGTATAGAGAGGTGTGCTGTATAGAGAGGCGTGCAGTATAGAGAGGTGTGCAGTATAGAGAGGCGGGCTGTATAGAGAGGTGTGCAGTATAGAGAGAGGCGGGCAGTATAGAGAGGTGTGCAGTATATAGAGAGAGGCGGGCAGTATAGAGAGGCGTGCAGTATAGAGAGGTGTGCAGTATAGAGAGAGGCGGGCAGTATAGAGAGGCGTGCAGTATAGAGAGGCGTGCAGTATAGAGAGGTGGCAGTATAGAGAGGTGGTGGCAGTATAGAGAGGTGTGCAGTAATAGAGAGAGGCGTGCAGTATAGAGAGGTGTGCAGTATAGAGAGGTGTGCAGTATAGAGAGGTGTGCAGTATAGAGAGGTGTGCAGTATAGAGAGGTGTGCAGTATAGAGAGGTGTGCAGTATAGAGAGAGGCGTGCAGTATAGAGAGGTGTGCAGTATAGAGAGGTGTGCAGTATAGAGAGGTGTGCAGTATAGAGAGAGGTGTGCAGTATAGAGAGGTGTGCAGTATAGAGAGAGGTGTGCAGTATAGAGAGGTGTGCAGTATAGAGAGAGGCGGGCAGTATAGAGAGGTGTGCAGTATAGAGAGGTGTGCAGTATAGAGAGGTGTGCAGTATAGAGAGGCGTGCAGTATAGAGAGGTGTGCAGTATAGAGAGGTGTGCAGTATAGAGAGAGGCGTGCAGTATAGAGAGGTGTGCAGTAGGCTTTAAACAGTTGTTTAAAAGTTATTTTCACTTTCTCATGTGAAATCTCCGTGCTTAAGTGTTAGCCTACAGCTCACAGTACTGTCTCTGAATGTCATCGTCATCACTGAGGTCACTCCTGATTACGTGCCCCAGGTATTTGACCTTCTCTACATTCAGAAGCTCCACACCAGACAAATATGTCCAAAGTACAGCTTTGGGCAAGTTTATAAAGCTCGCGTGTAAACATTCGATCCTCGTAAGTAGCATAAGAACTACTTGCTACTTACACATCTGAATTACAAGAAGAGGGTGCGTTGCCAAAGGGCAGCGGTCATCATTGTTTTGAGAGGTCGGTTATCAAGAAATACAGACCGGTAGAACGTGTTGAAATTACATTCAAATCAACCGAGCGTTGTACTGCTGCTGTGAGGAGCTGTGTAATAAATAAGGGATAATGTAAAGTAGGCAGGTCATCCTCTGAAAATAAGTACAGAGCAAAGCGGACTGCTTCCGCCCTGTCGGCAGGCATATTATTTTCCAGTAATGACCTGTGTACTGTACATTATCTGCTTATTATACGGCTTTGTACCAACAGAACACTCAAAATAAACTTCAGTAAACTTTCATTGTGAATGCTGAATGGTTTATTTAATGACTGCAAATAATATAGTTCCCGAAGGTTTCTCCGTGCCGTGGCTAGGCTAGTAACAGTTACTTCATAACCAGAACTCTCTCGAACTGCATGAAAACTGAACAAAGAATTCTGAACATTCTCCCATTAACATATAAATGTGTTAATGATTGTTATTTGCGTTTATCTGAGGACCAAAATGTCCTCAGATAAATGTCCTATATTTATAGAGCGCATTTTAGGTCGCCAAAAGCACTTTACAATTGTTCTCTCCACACGGGGATGACAGAAGCGACGTCAAAGCCTCCGACCAAACACCATCCATACACCCACTCATTACATTCATACCTATTGTACATGTTTTTAATGGTAGGGGAAACCGGAGCACCCAGAGGGAACCTATGCAGACATGAGGAGGACACTCAGAAAAGCCCTGTTCTGACCGGGATTCAAACCCAGGACCTTCTTGCTGAGAAGCGAGAGTGCTAACCGCTACACCAGGCCGCCCAGTTTGTATTTATGTTTTCATCTCAAGCTTTCTTAAACTTAAACTTTCAAGACCAAAATACATTGAAATGCATTGAATAGAGTAGAATAGAGTAGAATGGAGTAGAATGGAGAGCAGAGATTGCGTGTTGCCAGGGCTCTCTCCGCAGCAGGAGCCTGGGTCTGGGCCGCGGCTCACGTGTTCACTGCAGCACGTATGACCACGCGGCGCACTGATGTATTATACAAGTGAATATGAGACGCATCACGCTCCCCATTGATTTTCCATAAAGGCTCGGCAGCTTTTCATGGGCAGCCCTGAGGGTCCGGCTCCGAGCAGCCGTCTCCACAGCACGCTCTCACACATACAGGATCCTCACTGGTCCAAATGAGCCTGTTAGAGTGGTTTTCAGCAATAACACTCACATAAAATCAGGAAATAAGCCAGAACCTCTTCAGATCGTAATGCACACGGGGTCGATAAAAAGGCGGGAGAGAGAGCTAACCGCTACAAGCTACACGTTCATATCCATTAGTTTGTTATTATCTATGAAAGACTGATGTATTAGTAATGAGCAAATCTCAATAGTTCATAATGTATACAGGGCACATTAACTCATCATTCTGAGATGGGGAAGGTTTATCTGTGAATTGGACAAGTGCAAGTTTATTTGTAAAGCACAGTTCATACATAAGGCAACTCAGAGTCACACACAATCACACAAGGCATAAACATCATAAATAATCACTGCACATTAAAAAGAAAGATAAAAATATAAAATCCACTGCTAAACAGACCTGTTTAAACCTGGATTTATAGTTTTTCTCAGTCGCTTTGGTGCATTTCTCATTCTTCACATTTTCACAACAGTTCAATTCTACAGCATTGTGCAAAAAAATACAGTCACTTATATTAGTATTTACGTAGAACAAACATACAGAATATCATTATGGTAGAACTGTGACAAATGTAAACAATAAAACACACAACTCCTCCTGAAACTCACCTGAGAACAATTGTTTAATTTAGGAGAGATTTTCAGGAAATGTATGAAATTAGCTTGACAGATTTTGATTTTGAGAACTAGTTTAACAATTTTGTATGTGATGACTCAAGCATGAAATAAAATGTGGACGATTAGTTTCATAGGGAATGACTCTTCAGCTTCACCTCTGTGTTTGGAGTGAAAGAATAGTGAAGAGACTTTGTCCAAAAAAGCTCTACAAAAAAATCAATGCATTATTATTATTATTGGTGTAAAATTGCGTCCGTTCACTGCTCAGCTCATACATTCGAAGAGGTGATGTGTGCCTTGCCCTAGGACACCACAACGGGCCTGTCGACCTTCACAGAGGCCGGTGGGAGCAGTTAGCAGGGAAGCAGTGACATCACAGAGTGGAAGTGCATCAGAGGTGTCCGTCGGAGCTAATACAATGTCTCCTGTGTGATTACTCCCACGCCGCACAGGGCCACAGGCATTAACCTTTGGCAGCGGCTCCGGGGCCCCTCCCACACGGGCCCCCCTCTCTGTCCGCTGGTTTAAAAGGACCCGGCTTCATTACCCGCTGTACCACACACTGACTTGATTCACAATGGATGAGTTCTATTAAAAGGCCATTGGAAACAGCGGCACAGAAACACATCAGCAGCAGAGGATCCGGTTCCAACACTTTTGGAGTCATAATGGATTCAGACTGAAATGTTAATCGCTGCATCAAATCAGCAGGTTTTCACACTCTGAAAAACATGGCCAGAAACCAATATGTAGTAACAAAACCAGACTTGGAGATTCTTACCCAGGGGTCTCCAACGTTTTTTCCACAGCTACTTTTTCAGGACAAAAATGACTGTATGAAATGATTGTATTTCATCACGCCAATGTTCTGTTTTCGAATCCCGGCTGGAACAAGGTCTTTCTGAGTGGAGTTTGCATCTTCTCCCCGTGTCTGCGTAGGTTTTCTCCGTGTGTTCCGGTTTCCCCTACCACTAAAAACCTCCAGTCGAGCATCAACATCTGGAGATGGGTTCCCGGCCGCTGTTACTACGGTGACCACTGCTCCTGACGTAAGCCTTAGCAACATCAGGATCTCGGTCAAATGCAGAGGATGGATTTCCCTACGGGGACAATAAAGTGCACATATACAAATAAAAAACAGTGACGTAAAAAGTTTGTGTAAGTTCTCAGTCGTACAGGGATTAGTCAAAGCAAAGGAAGGTTTCTCACCCATCATCTGTACTTCTTAGCTGGGGAAAAAGTGAGAAACTCCTGTGAGATCCAGACTGACGGACAATCTACAGATCCAGGACTCAGGCTGTAGAACGAGGCTGTGCATGTGTCCAGCAAATACAATTATTATACTGTATAATGCATCACAGTACTAACCAGGCCCTGCCCTGCTTAGCTTCAGAAGTCCGACAGGATCTGACTTTCACAAATGCATCCAGAATTGTGTAGTTTAATCTAATTGCCACATGCTTTTTAAAATTTAAAACCCTAAAACATTCATTTGCACCTGTAGTCCTCTGACTAAAGGAGAAGTGCTCATGTGGGGAGGCTGAAGTAGAACTGAAAAGAGACACACAGAGACGATGAGGAGAAACATGAGCTCCCACTCTGATGCAACCTCCTCATTTGGATTCTCGCTGCCACCTCCTGCTGTGAGCTCCTCTATAATTCACTTGTTTTGGTGCGATCGGCTCCGAACGAGTCTCCAGCACAATCACAGTCTGAGGAGGAGAAGGTGGAGCAGGTGGAGGAGGAGGGAAATCACAGTCTGAGGAGGAGGAGGTCGAGGAGGAGGTGGTAGAGGAGGTGGGGGTGGGGGAGGAGGTGGTTGAGGAATTGCAGGAGGAGGAGGTGGGGAGGAGGACAAGGTGGAGTAGTTGCAGGAGGAGGTGGAGATGGGGAGATGTAGATGGAGGAGAGGTTGGGGGAGGTGAGGAAGGAGGAGGAGGTGGGGCTGGTATTGGTGGAGGAGTTGAGGGAGGTAGAGGAGGTGGGGGTGGTATAGGAGGTGGAGGAGGAGGTGAAGGTGGAGAAGATGGAGGTGGAAGGAGGTGAGGTAGAAGATGAGGTGAGTGTGGAGGTGGTTGAGGAATTGCAGGAGGAGGAGGTGGGGAGGAGGACAAGGTGGAGTAGTTGCAGGAGGAGGTGGAGATGGGGAGATGTAGATGGAGGAGAGGTTGGGGGAGGTGAGGAAGGAGGAGGAGGTGGGGCTGGTATTGGTGGAGGAGTTGAGGGAGGTAGAGGAGGTGGGGGTGGTATAGGAGGTGGAGGAGGAGGTGAAGGTGGAGAAGATGGAGAAGGGGGTGAGTGTGGAGGTGGTTGAGGAATTGCAGGAGGAGGTAGAGGAGGTGGGGAGAAGGTGGAGATGGGGGAGATGTAGATGGAGGAGAGGGTGGGGGAGGTGAAGGAGGTGAGGAAGGAGGTAGAGGTGGAGGAGTTGAGGGAGGTAGAGGAGGAGGAGGTGGGGGTGGTATAGGAGGTGGAAGAGGAGGTGGAGAAGGAGATGGAGGTGGTTGAGGAATTGCAGGAGGAGGAGGTAGAGGAGGAGGTGGAGTAGTTGCAGGAGGAGAAGGTGGAGATGGGGGAGATGTAGATGAGAAGAGAGTGGGGGAGAAGAAGGAGGTGGAGGAAGAGGAGTGGAAGAGGTAGAGGTGGAGGATGTAGAGGAGGAGGTGGTGGCGGAGGTAGAGGAGGAGGTGGTGGCGGAGGTAGAGGAGGTAGAGGAGGAGGTGGAAGAGTCCATGCATCCCGTCGGCTGAGAACCATCTGAAGCTCTGCAGCCTTTACACTACATAAACTCATTTTCATCAAAGTCTATTATAAAGAAAATGAAACAAGGCAAAACAAGTCCCATGGGTAAATGAAGAAGAAGGGAACCCAAAATGCTGGACTAAAAATCCAAAGTAATTTAATGAAATCCAAATCCAGAGTGACAAAAAGCACCAAATTCCAGACCCAGAAAAACAAGACAGGGACAAACATGGACGAGACCAGAAGTGTGGAAAAGCACTGGGCGTAAATCCACACAGGAGACACCGTGGATCACTCTGGGGCGAACCATCAACAGGAGACATGCAGCAAACATGAAGCAAACTACAAGAGAACAGTAATAGTCAAAATAATCCAAAAAGTCCAAACCACGACAAAAAAGGCCTTTAGAATCTTCTCAAATCAATTTCCTACATGTACGTCTGGTCTTACCATGTGTAAACTCTGGTCCATGATCATTTCCTACATGTACGTCTGGGTCTGATCCTAGCGGCTGCAGTTTCTTTGGTTGAATCCCCTCCAACCAATCAGAGAGCGGGGGAGGCGGGTGTTGGAAAACTGTCTAAAATTGTTCTAAAATTGTCAGTCAATTAAAACCCTCATCTTGTCCTATAGACCCGGTCCCTCTGAGGTTGTTCAAAGATGTCTGGGAAACAATTGGTGCTTGTGTTTGTCAAATTGTGAACAGTAGCCTTGTTTCAGGAGTTGTCCCTTCCTTTTGTAAGCAGGCTGTAATTGAACCACTTCTCAAGAAATCGAGCCTTGATACCTCCATTGTCTCTAATTATCGGCCAATTTCCAAACTTCCTTTTTTATCTAAACTGTTGGAACAGAGTGTGCTCTGTCAATTACAGCCCTTTCTGGATGCACATGGTGTCTCAGACATGTTCCAGTCAGGTTTTAAAAGTTTGCATAGCACTGAGTCCGCACTTTTAAAGGTTTTTAATGACCTGTTTTTAGTGACGGACTCAGGTAGTTCTGCCATTTTATTGCTTTTAGACCTGACTGCTGCTTTTGACACGGTTGACCACACAATTCTTTTAGACCTACTCCGAGACTGTGTGGGTCTCAGGGGGACTGCTTTAGACTGGTTCAGGTCGTACCTCAGTGGGAGGTCTTTCTCTGTTAGGCTGGGGGACTCCACTTCATCCTCTGCCCTCCTGCGCTGTGGAGTTCCTCAGAGTTCAATTCTTGGCCCAGTTCTGTTTGCCCTTTATCTCCTCCCACTGAGTCAAATCTTTAAGAGGCACAGCATCTCATACCATGTTTATGCAGATGACTGTCAAATTTACTTGCCTCTTTCCAAGACAGCTAAAGGCCCCCTGGCACCCTTGCTTATCTGCCTGAGTCACGTCAAGGCTTGGTTGGCCCAAAATTGAGGAGAAAACTGAAATTATTATTTTTGTGCCAACTGATTCCTTAATGGACTTGGGCCCCTTCAAAGACAACGTGGACAGTGATTTTAATTTTACTAAACAGATTAACACAGTCGACAAGTCAGGCTTTTACCATCTTCGCCTTTTATCTAAAGTCAAACCGTTTTTATCTTTTAAACATTTTGAACAAGTCATGCATGCTTTTATTTCGTCATGCCTGGACTACTGTAATGCTCTTTATACAGGCATTACCCAAAATGCACTCTCACGCTTACAGTTAGTCCAGAACTCAGCTGCACGACTCCTTACTGGAGCTAAAAAGCGTGACCAAATTTCTCCAATCCTCGCGTCTTTGCACTGGCTTCCAGTCAAAGTTAGAATTGATTTTAAGGTCTTGTTGTTTGTTTTTAAAGCGTTGAACGGACTGGCCCCTCAGTACGTCGCAGACCTCATTGAAGTCTACACCCCAGCGCATGCTCTGAGGTCTGAGGGCCAGCTCCAGCTGGTGGTTCCTAAGACCAAACGTAAAACTCGAGGGGACAGAGCGTTCTCTGTTGTCGGCCCTAAGCTGTGGAACGCTCTGCCCCTCCATATCCGAACAGCCCCAACACTGGAGTGTTTTAAATCTCGTCTTAAAACCAGTGGGGTTGGGTCCCAGCTCAAAAGTGGCTAAAATGACGTGCGCTGACCACAACACCACCCCGGGCCGATGGGGGTGGACCCAGAAGAAGAATTAGCCAATGCTAACATATTGACCAGATGCACCGACGTCATAAAGTCATGTGACCGTGCATGAGCTGACGGCGGAAGTAGTGGAAGCTAGCATTGCGGTGAGAGCAAAAAAGACTCTAACTCTGCGGTAAGAGCAAAACTGACTCCAACTCCTAAACATTGAGACTCCTGTCATAAATCGAGAGATGGCTGAATGTTCGATGAAGTTATCGACGGAAGTAGGACATCTCGTCGGGGCCCATAAAGCGCGGTATTTGGGGAAGTTACGGATCGCCGAATTGGAAGTTGACCCGTACCTTCTCCCCCCAGTCAATTTCGTAGATTTAGTTAAATGCACAACATTGCCCGAATTCTCCCCGCATGATCTGTACCATTACGTAGTGAACAATGTATCTCCTTACACTGGATCAGATTTAAAAGCGTACAAGAGCCTGGATGCATACCAGTTTTTTGTTGCTGGCTGGGTCACTGGGGCTTGTTGTCAAGAAAGGGGGACACGGTTCATCATAATGGCAAAGGTAAGTAATTTCGATTGCATTATGGTATCATTTATCATGTGTAAATTCATACAATTATGATTAAGTATATTGTGTATCATGTAGATATTTATTCTGGAATACTGTCACTGGCTTATTATAATGTGTACAACTACAGGACCAGTTATTCATAGTGTAATACTCCCAGGTAAGAAATGCTTGAACAGTGCTTTTCAAGATGCTTTTATTGACAAGCTGACAGAACAAGCTGCTGTTAGCCACAGCTCATGCTTAACTCAGAAACTTACAACACACACTACCGTCTGTCAACTCGTGGGGAAAATCCCCCACCCCTGAAAAGCTCTACCATAACCAGAGCGCCCCACTGTGGTAGTAAACCGACAACACAGAACTATTACAATAGATAAAGGTTATATTATTGTTGTGATGAAAATGCAGTGTTGTGCTAGTACAATATATAACTTTTCACACTTAGAAACATGGATCAATGCCCCCTTCAGTTACATTTAGATTGGAGCTAGATGGTCATAGTAGATAGTACTTTCAAAATGATGACCTATTGTGTAAATAATACCTATTCCCTTTTTATACATGTTATATCATGTGATTTCAGGTTCACCACAGCCAAGCACTGTCTGAACCTCCTCTAAAGCCCTGGGTGTCTCTTCAGAAGGATGGTACAGTGTTGTGTGGCCACTGCACATGTGAAGCAGGCCTGGGAGAGGTGTGCTCGCACATCACAGCCTTGCTCTATGCCCTTGAGTCTGTAGTAAAATTCCTTCAAGATCGAAGTTGCACTGATGGGTCAAGACAATGGGGGCATCTTCCAGTGAAAGCAGACAAAGCACTCTATGAAGAAGGGTTAGGAATTGACTTCACAAATCCGTCCAAAAAGCAAGCTGGAATATCAAAGAAAAAAACATCAAAACAGAAACATACAGCGTGTGTCTGAAGGTGCCATAGCAAAGTTCTACAAAGATCTGGATAGTGCATCCCAAAGTCCTTCAGAGAAGAGTGGTCTCCTGAATGTGCTACCAAAGTTCGGTGAGCAGTTCCAACCCAGAGTGTTATCTTTAAGCCTTCCACAGCCCCTAACAGAGTTGTACAACCCTAATCACCGTAAGCTGTCTGCTTCCGACCTAATGGTGAAATGTGATGATGCTTTCATCAACATAGAGGTCACACCCGAACAGGTACAGATGAATCGATTAAGCCTATTAATTGATTGTATCATAATATAGGATTTATCTTTTTGCATATTAAATGTTGTAGGCAGTACATGTTGAGGAAGAGACGCGACAACAGGGACAGTCAAAGCTATGGTTTAACATGAGGGCTGGTAGAGTGACAGCCTCAAGATTCAAGTCAGCAGCAAGAACAGATCCATCTAATCCATCCAAGTCACTCATCAGGCAGATTTTCTACCCAAGGCAGTGTGGTGTTTCTACTGCTGCTACAAGGCATGTGTGCTATGACTCAAACACACAGATGTTGTTTATCATGTTAAAGCCGGAGTACATAGTAGTTATTGTTTCACAAATACATGTTTATCAGAACAGAAAGAATCTTAAGACAAGATCAACTTTATTGATCTCACAATGGAGAAATGTACATGTCACATTTGGCATAGATATAATTACTCAGATGTGCAAAAATATAGAAGTGTGAAACATGTTAAAATTGAACATGTTAATGTTAGATCCTCATTAACTCTGCTCAATATGCAACTGATATTGACATTATGTATGGTCTATCTTTCAGATGGGGATGTCAACAAGAAAAGACAGCAAGGCAGACATATGAAGCCTGGGCCTCATCACAGCATCAGGACCTGCAAGTCTGTGACTCTGGTCTGCACATCCACCCCAGCTGGGCAATGGTGTGTTAGAGATAAAATGCCCACACAGTGCTAATACTGGAGTCCTCAGTGCCACAGACAATCCAAATTTTTATATTAGAAATATAAATGGTTGTTGTTCTCTTAGCCAAAATCATGCATACTTTTACCAGGTGCAAGCTCAGATGTTTGTGACAGAGCGAAAATACTGTGACTTCATGGTGTGGTCTGAATCAGATTATTTTATACAGTGGATCTTACCCGATGCTGCCTTGATGAGAGAAACAGTACCCAAAGTAGAACAGTTGTTTAGGTCCGCTATTCTTCCAGAGCTATTGGCCAAGAAATATACATGCCCTTGCCCACAACCAGAGTCAGAGAAAAGGCTTAACTCCAACACACTGGAAGACAGTGAAGAGTAATGTGGCCTGATTGTTTTTGCTTTCTACTCGATCATTTAAACAAGGCCTAATGTTTTATTGTGGCTCATTTATTTGTAGACCCGTGTGTCATGCTTAATTCAAAGTAAATGTAATAAAGAGGCTTAAAGTTATA